CCTCCCCACTGCCACCGCCACGTCCCCTTGCACCCCATCAGGCTTTGCTTCAGCCCAGGGCACACAGGAGAAAACTCGAACTGCAGCCTTCTTCAATGGGAAAAGTGATTCTATTTAACTTATTTAAGTTAAACTATGTATTTTTATTAAGAAAAGAGAAAATACAAAAATAATTTGGACTATATAAAAATAATATTTAAAAGAAAATTAGCTATATCAATGTGACAGTTCATGAAGAATCAGGAGTTTTGATACCTAAAGAAAGTGTTTGTGCTATCAACCCCTTTGGGTATCTGTGAAGTGACTCCTCATGCCCCAGTGTGCCATAAGGGACACACAGGGACCCCCTTGCCCTCCCCATGCTCTGGGTTCACAGCTCCCCTCTGGCAAGGGTGGTCTCAGCCCCACGGCAGCTCCTGCAGTGCTTCCCCCTGCCCCACCCTGGGTCCAGCTCTGGTGCAACCCACACATCCCCATGGGGCGACACCAGTGTCTCACTGGGGGCTGCCAGTGCTGGCTCAGCAGCAAACCCCCGTGTGAAGGAGCTGGGCTGGCTGCAAGTGGGGGTACTGGAAGGGGCAGGGGGATGATGAGCACAATCAGCCCATGCCACACTCCCTTCCTCCTCCCCGCATCACAGCCCTGTGCCTGTCCCCAGTCCCAGACGGCTGTGCTGGCCCCACAGCCCTGGGGACCCCATTGCCCAAGCTGCTCCCCTCAACCGGTGCCTGCATCGCTGCAGGCTGCACACTCCCAGGAGTCAGCATCTGCCATGGCAGAGCAGAGCTGGTGGGTCCTGCAGGAGCTACAGGAGGTGCAGAGCAGAAGCCTCCAGGGCCTGGGGGAGCACCAGGACCTGCTGTCACCAAAGGCCCCTGAGCTGTAGGCTGCCAGCCCTGGTGCTGTGCTGAGCCCACCTCCAGTTGCTGGCCTGACTTTCCTGGAAAGATCTTATCTAGGACCATAAACCATGGGTCTTTCAGGACCTTGAGCTTCACTCATCTCCACAGCGAGCCCTCCTAAGGGACTGTGGTTGGAACGATTTCGAGACTGGCAAAATGGCAGATGTCCTGATCCTGCTCCAAAGCTCAGGGGGCTACAGCTGAAAGCAGTTGCTTGGATTAACTTTCCCTGAGAAGCGCTTCTCTAGGCCCACAAACCATGGGCCTTGCTGGACCTTGATCTCACCTGGTCTCAGCAGAGACTCCTGTACAGGGACAGTGTTGAGAGAAAGCCCGGGCCTGACAAAAAACCAAACGCACTGGTCATGCTCCCACTCCCAAGAGGCTAGAGCTGAAAGCAGTTGCCTGGCTTGACTTTCCCTGGGAAGCGATTCTCTAGGCCCACAAATCATGGGTCTTGCAGGACCTTGATCTTACCTGGTCTCAGCCTCAAGGCCTCCTCAGAGACTATAGTCAGAGGGAGCCAGGACCTGGCAAAAATTAAAATTTCCTGATCATACTCCCACAGCCAAGGGGCTACAGCTGAAAGCAGTTGCCTGGCTTGGCTTTCCCTGGAAAGCAATTCTCTAGGCCCATAAACCTGCAGAGAAACATCAGCAGGCTGCAGTTTTTTCTGCAGAGAAACATCAGCAGGCTGCAAACCAAGGCACTGCAGAAGCTGGACTTCCCATGAGAACGTTATTAGAATAAATAGCAGCTGGGATTTATACAAAGGCAATCTTCAAAAGACTAAACTATGTTATTATTAAGTATAACAGGACCTTGGACCAGCCTAAAAGTAGGAGTTCAAAACTACACCGAGCACTGTGTGCCTGGGTTATCTCGCCCAGGACACTGGTTGAACGGTACCTGTGGCGTGTGACAGGATATCGCGGTCTTGGAACACCTGGCCATAAAGTATGGGAATGATGGATGGGAAAGTGCTGTAGTATGTGAACATCCTGATGGGCTGCATGGTCAGGTTCTTCTCTGTAGCTATATAAGTAGAGGTAGAAAATAAAATCTTCACTGGGCATTCATCTGCTGAGTCAGTTTCTTCTTTTCAGCTCACCGCAGGTTTCCACCCCCCTTGCATCTAAGCCACAGACAGCTGAGTACATCATAAAAGTACTAGATGATTGGAGTATGGGCACCCCCTTAATAAGCTTATTGACTTAATAATGGAGAAGAGATTGTAAACTGCAGTTTCATCATTTTTCTCCTTAGAGTTTGCAATGTGGGATCTGAACTCAAGATTTCTGCACTGAATTATTCATTTCAGGCAGGCAAGGAAGTGGCAATTTTCATCTTCCTCTGCAGCTGGTACAGGATAGAATTCCCATAAACACAAAATCCCCAACTTACCTCCTCAGCTTCTCTAAGAGCAATGATTCCTCATGGTCTGTGTTCATAGCTTCAGCAGAAATGGTGGGTTTAACAAGGTGATTTCATTTCCATGGTGTTTAATCACTCAAGTGTAAATAGAGGTTCCTACAGATGATTCTAAATTCAGTCCCCCATAAGAAAATGAGGTAATAACACATTTTTCTGGATGAAAAGAGTTTGTTTTTTTCTTTTTGGTTTGTTTTTTGTTTGGTTGGTTTTTTTGGTTTGTTGTTTTTTTTGTTTTCAGAAATAAGAAATGGCCTGGAGCAGCTAGAATCCTGTAATTGCATAGGTGCTGGTATCCATAATTGCAGTTAGGTGCTGGTATTTCCTCTTCCCCTCATTTTAGTTCATGCCCAAGGTACAGTTTACCCTGTTTGGATTTCTTTCAATAAGCTACCTTTGAAACTGAATATAATTGTGGGGGACAGGGGAACGTGAAACGTATTTGCCAAATTCATTTCTCATCTGTAAGGACATACAGAACTTATGGGGTGGGGAGAGAGAATGAGGTAGGTAGGTGAAGTACTGTGAGGTGCTGAGAGATGGTATACGAGAGAGTACAACGTTGAAACAGTTTACAGATTGCAAGCTTTAAAGATAAAGTTATTCCAGGAGGACTGATGTAGGGCCCAGAATGGCAGTCCTCTTGCAGAGCCCCAAGCTTTCTGCATCACTTGCTTTTCTACTTGTGGGGGAGGGAAGAGGGCAGTCTGTTTACAACTGAATTCATACGAGGAAACTTGAAATCGTACATGTTCTTTCACTCTGGCTTTATTAAGTGCATACTTTCAAATATTGTTTGTCAGTAAGAAGGTTCTATCTGGTGATAAATGTTTGTATTTCTTATAGCTGCCTTGTAAAGATCCCAAAATGTACAATAATTAATTTCTTGATATGAAATAAGGAGGAAGATTTCTACAACTGGCATAGATTTTGATGTGAGCTGGTTTTAAAAATCTTGTGAGATTAGTCGCTTAAATAAAACCTTCCTTGCCTTTAAGCAAAGAGTGTCATTGATCTTCTTACCAGTTTTAGGGGAAGTACCAGATCGTCATTGTATGTGTCCTAGTAGCCAGTGGAAACAGTATAAATAGAGGCTGTTTAATACCTTTGACTATCTGAAATAAGACTTAGATTGGAGGTTGACTTCTCACAGAACTCCAACACTCCTTCCTCTTGAAAAGTCATAAGAAAATTTCTGTAATGAGACACCATCTTTGTGAAAGCTTTATAGAAGTAGTTTCAGTACATGCAAAAAGTAACTTTTAGGCTACTGCTCCATATAGAAAGGTGGTTAAAAAAACCAAAAAACACACAACACACAAAAAACCTCACACACTAAAACTACATCAAGAAATAACAGAAGCTAAAGCTCGCTGTCACCTGGAAGCCTGTTTCCAGGCCTCATTAACTGTTTCAATATTTTATAAGTCTAGTTTGACAATAAAAGAAAAATTAGGACTAAGTTTAAAATCAATACTTCCACATAAATCAGAACGGAATGTGACTGCTTCCCATATTTATACTTAATACCATTAAAATATTAGTAGCTCCAGGTTAACTAAATTACATGTGCATCTTAAAAATTGCCAAGTAGAGTAAAGTTTCCCACATCAACCTTTTGTTTGAAGGTTTATTTCAAGGTGAATGTAAGCCAAGAAGCCGGCACAAAGCTGCTCCCAGGGAAAACAGCCCTGGTGTTGAATTCTAGGAGCCTGAGAAATCTTTGCTTTAGTTTGAAAGACTAAACTTTGCTAAACTGAATCACCTACCAGATAAGGCTTGTCAAACGAGCATTACATTTTTTAAAAGTAGCAAGATACAGGTATCAAATGCTTAATATACTTCATCAGATAAAACACCTGCACTGTGACATTAGCTGGTAACAGTAGTGGTAAGAGGTCACATTATTGTAGTAACCAATTTTGTATACAACTAAAAGACAGATGTTGTAGTACAAAAGCCACATTTAACTCAACTGCAAGATGCTATTTAAAGCAGCAGCAAGAAACTACAAAGTTGCTCTGAGCTACTTAAGACAGTCTTAGGCTAATCTAACAGCAATCCCTAAGGCCATGAATTAGTCCTAATGGGACTTCTCTCTTGTGGCATGAGTGACTCCGCAGAAACCTGTTGCCTTGGAGTGGCAGTTGTGGTCAGAACTCATTCAAGCCACTGCTGTTTCATTAACTTCCCTTTAAACATGATGCTTAACTTTTGGGTTGTTTGTATACAGAAGAAAATTGTTAGGCTTTCAAAATAACAGACCGGTACTTTTAGTATGCAAAGTACTCATACTGAAACTCCTGGCAATTGGATACCAGTCTGAAGACCTATGACCACCCTTCGTAAGTCTATGGCCCTTGCTGTGGCTGTTCCTACTGGTCAGTGCAACACCAGTTTCAAAGTATTTTAATGCCTTATGAAAGTCACGTTCAAGATGGTCCCTCATCTCCACAGGAGCTAATGCACTGTTGCAATTTTGGTTCTCCTGTTCACTTGAAAAGAGGAAGCAAGGGAAGGGAAGTCTGGAGCTGCTTTGTCAAGGAAGATTATAAAATGTAATGGCTTTTTTGATGTATAGAGTGCACCTTTTCAAGTGCTACAAAGAGCTCTCCTTCATATATGCTCACAAACTAACGATAGTTACATCCCTCTCTGTCTAGGTACCAAGTGCTCGATGAGTTTCTTTGCTTGCCTTCTGATAGCTTGAGAAAGTTTCTGAGATCGACGCGCAGACTAAGTTTTGTGCCGTTAGGTAGTAGTCGTTCAATATTGCGTGTTGCCTGCAGAAGAACAAGACTGCCATTAGCAGCATGAAGTCAGTATGGTTAATTAACTTCTTGTCACGCAAACTGCTGAAAAACTGTTAGATGGTAGCAAGGAAGAGATCTGGGACCTGTATACATTCACTTTATAACTGTTCTAAACACTAGCAAGAAAACATTTTGTTACCTTCAGTGAGCATAAATGGCACTACACAAATTAAGTACTGAAAAACTTTTAACTGGCAACAGGAGCATTTCTTGTGGTATAATCTAATTCATTAAAATGAAAAATGTTAGAACAATGCATGGAGCTGGCAACTGGGAAGAGTTTGAGGTCAAGGTTTGTTTCATCATGGAAAAGATGGAAAGGGGAACTGTAACACTAAAACTCATGGCAATTGGATACCAGAACAGAAAGTCATATGCAAAACTGTAAAGGCAACTCCAAAAAAAGTTTATTGCTCCATTATTGCAGTAGGCAACCTACAAACCAGCCAGTGACAGAGCTGATTATATGCATCTACATATGCTGGAGAATTGGACCAAATTGCTTAGTGGAAGCAGTACACATCACTGTTTAAAGCTTCAGTCGAGCATTTCAAACTGCTCTCATTTTTCTTGAAAAGTTAGAGCAATCAACAGCTTAAACTTGTCTTTGTTGCTAAAATAGGACATAGTATTCAGGTGGTAACTTTCCCTTTAACAACAGGAACACTTCCAGCATAATAGGTGAAGATATTAATGTCATTATACAGATCTCTGTGAAGGTAATGGAAGCATTTACCTGGTAATGGTTCAGGGAATTTACACTAGAAGTGATGTTTAGAAACTTACACCAAAGAATTCCTGTTTCCATCCATTTAGGTACAGTTGCTGTATTTAAAAATGTCAGCAATACAGATATCAACTGCTGTTATTGTGATAGCATTATCTTAACTGCTAAGACAATACTAAGGAGTGAAAAGAAAGGCCGTAAAATTGACAGCTTAGGGTAATAGTTCTGTCATGCTTTGTGATCTTCATTAGTAATCAATGAGAACTGAGGTTGGGTGACAGACATTAGTACCAGTAGTTTTCTGGTCTGGAGTGAGAAAAGCTGCTGTTTGCATAGAAGCCCATCCTAACAGTTCATTGCAAACCCACAAGGTTTCACTAATTCATGACTTAGAAGTGAAGTTTTACAGCTGCACAATGATCTGCTGTAGCAGAGCCACAGTGAATGAGGGAAGAACCCTGTGGTTCTGCATAATACTTTAAAGAAGCATGAGTGAATAAGCCTCTCTGTCCAAAGAGCAGCTTTTCTCCCCACAGATGCATGCAGGTATAGACAAGGTAAGTGAACAGCTACTTTACCTGGTTGATACTATCTTCAGTGAGTGAGAGAAACTGTCATATCACTAACAGATGGGAGAATATTAGGAGTGAGATTTAGTGAACTTTCAATGGATGTGATCATTAACTTAATACCAGATTTAACCTACAGTTATCTAGAAATGGTCCCACTGGTAAAAACAGTTTTTCAATTATGTAGGAATTCAAGCCCTTACCTGTTTGTAGATAAAGGTATTTAATGTTATGCCCTTTCTAGAGGGTTTTAGGTGCTTGACACTTAAGTATTAAATGCTTGACATCAAGTGTTCTAAGAGGAAGAGGTTTAGGGAATTGCCTTGTGACAAGACTTCCGACTTTTAGCTTTAGTTTTTACTCTCTTAATACGTCTCATTCAGAATGGCATAACCTTTATAAACACAGCAGCCTACCACCCCAGGGATTAACCAAGGTGTTGTGCAAGAGGCTTCTGCATCTGCTAAATTTTTGAGTTATGGGTAACATGGACTATTTGTTAACATAGCACTACCTAATAGAAAGATTTTCTTATAAATTTGCAGGCACCAGTGATGGTGTCAATGCAGTGGGATTTCCCCTATCCCCAGCCTGGATTGGCACTTCTTTTAGACAGAGGCAGGGAGGTACTGTTCTCGCACAAGGTTAAAAGTGGGCTCTTGCTGGCAAAAATCTGACTTCCACAGCAAGAAAGCTGAAGACAAGGAGAGCATTTGACAAGTTTTAGAAGTTGCAAGTCCAACTGCAGATTTAATCTGCACAGGTGTCTTGAAGAAAGAAAGGCTCTGCTACATTACAGCTGAGAAAGTTCAGCAACTACTCCTCTTTCTGAGTTACAGGGATCACGTAGCCTGCAACTGGCAGTGTCTGAGTGGGAGGTAACCTGTTGCTAAAAGAAGAGGGACAGTTAACAGCATTTACCTCTTGTCTTGCACAATGGCATCATCAAATGCCTGGGAGATACGCTTCAGTTGGCAAATTCCTGAGGAGACCAGCTCCAACTCTCTGTCAAACTCTCTGCAAAAAGAATGGTCATTACTAAAGAGCAAACAGGACAAACTGACTAGGTGACACTACCCAAGCCTCTATCCCTGCAGTGACAACTCTAGTTAACTCCAGACTTTACCCAGAGAAGTTTAGGGCTGTAGCAATCATGCTCTTAAGTCTACTGAGCAACTGCTTCACATGTCCATTCATCCCAAAGACAGCTATCTTCTAATTTGAACACTGGGTTCAGATTCAGCTCCTGGCTTTGACAGTCTTCATGTGACTTTGACCAAAGCAAAAACTTATGTGTGCATTATGAAGCATTTCCTTAGCTCACTACCCTTTATCTAATTTGTGTTAAATCTTTGAAGCAAAAATCTCTCTTCTCTTATAGAGTTCAGCATAAACAGAGCTATTCCAGGTATCTTTGCAATACAAATAGCAACTCTGTAAAAGTTAGAGCTAAGTAGGAGTGAGATGCATTAAGAGCATTTTTCTTTACCAGCAAGGCATCAGCAAAGAACTCGGGTTTGTCTCTAGCGTCTGATGAGGACTAGCGCTGAGAAATGTGGTGTAAGCTTAACTAGTGGGAGAGGGGTTTTTAAGAAGTTCTTGTCACAGCACAAAATTAAGTTTCATGTGTCAGCTTTATGCAGTGCTCAGTCCCTGTCTATACAGGGAGCTGTAACTACTTTAACTATTCTAACAGCACACCCTCAGGGGAATAGGACAGCAACCTTTCTATCTTGTCTTTCACCTCAAAAGGTACTCTAATCACAACCACTAACAAAGGAACAAGGTTTGCAAAAGAATGTGGCTTACATCCTTCTGCTGGCAGAAGCAGGTGATGAATAAGGGCTCTTCAGTGCTGCTGCTCTTGTTGATCTCCGGAGAGAGACAGCATCTTTATCAAGCCAGGATGAGAAACCCCGCCACTCTTGATGTTCTGACACCCTTGCTGGCCCAAGCAAGACTCTTTTGCTGGATCTTGGGGTGCCTTTGGAACTGTTTGCTGGAGTAACACTCTTCTTATGGCAAGGGGTTCGAGGTGTAGTACTTCTTTTCTTGGTAGAACTGGTCGCATAGCGTCTGCTGATGGATTCAGCTGGAAAGGTCACCACTGAGTGTCGTGGGCCTTGGCAAGACTTCTGTATCTTCTGAAAGAAGCATTAGACAGACATGTTATGCTAAATGAATGCAATTAGCCTAGAGTTTGGAACCAGAAAGACAAAGAACATTTGGGTGGAGTGCCTAGCTTTCATTCTCATATCAGGTTTAGTCTAGCATGAATGCTTCTCAATGCTCTGTACTGATTTGCATTGCAGGAGTCCTTTGCTCCCCAGTCCTTGGAATTTGTTGAGGACTTAAACAGGCATCGGAACAGAGCTACTGCTGCTCTCGTGCAGGAAAGAGCCAGGATTCCTAACATAATTGAATTGGTTAAAATCAAAGGTCTCTACGAAAGGGAAGTGCAAGCTGAAGTTTGCTGCCCTGCAATCATCTAGCAGGTTTTGTGAGTCCAAATTTAGATTGACTCTGAAGAAGAACACGCTAATAAATAGTACGGGTACAAGAAAAGGAGTTAAAAAATAATCCAAAGCAGTACATATTTATCAGAAACAATTCTTTGCAAGTAATGGCAGTCTTTACCCACCTTCCTCCTTGTAAAGGCTGCTCTGCCATATGTGAGGAAATCGAGTAAGGAAAAACATTTATTTAGTAATAAAAGTTTTGCTGAAGTACTTCTTCTTTCTACCTTCCTCCCTGTTCTTCCAGATCCATAACTTACCTGTCTATATGTTAGCAAGGATATTAAAGATTTTACTAGTCAGTAGCTATGAGACAATCATTATTGTGTGCAAGTGTGGATGATAGAATACAGCATTTCCAGAAATCTGAAGTTGAAGCAAAAACTAAACTCTATTCACACTCTACTGCAAAGACAAGGTACCTGGGACACTGTTCCAAAAGCATTTTTTGCCGTTTTTTTAATACTCTGAAGTGGTTGGCACTTCTGTCTTGCTTCCAGACTTTCCCAAGCTGGGGTCTTACGAAAATTCAGCTCTACTTGCTTTAATGGTACTCGCTTCCTTAGAGACATGCGAATGGTATTGAGTGAACTCAAAGAAGTCCCTCTCTTGAATTTGTCAGGTACAGGGCTCTCATTCTCATCGAAGTCAGCTAGGAGCTGTTGTTTGCGCCAGGCCATTGTTGCCTTTACATTTTGGAGCACAGACACCATCTTGTTCCAGTTTGTGGTCAACTTTTTCTAAAACAATCAGATAAGAGCAAGAATTAGAGCAAGGTACAGAGCAGTGTGAAAAAGGAGAAATGGAAAATTTTATGCGATATATTCAGTTACATTTGCCTGAAACAACAAATTCAGAGCTGAACAGACTTTTACATGGAGGCCTGAAGGAGAGCAGCATTTCTTTCTACAGCTATTTAGGTCTGTGCATGTCCATGAAGGAGTCATATACTGCATTTCCAGCACAGCACATCAGACCTGGCAAGCTGTCAGGCTCAAGCTTGTGAGGTAGAATGCTCTGTAGCTGCCAGTTGCTTGTTGGTTTACTCAGACTAAGGTCTCATAGCCCAGATTTTTGCTTTCTAATGAAAAAAAACTAGCCTTCCGCTGCCAGACAAGTTTACGCAGCTGCTATTCTCTCCTCCCTCAGTTGCTAGCTTAAGGCTCCTGCTTAAGTCACAATTATGAATGTGGATGCATTAAGTCCTGAAACAGACAGGATTGTTACTGGCAGAATACATAGTGGGAAGGGCTAAATTGCCTGTTATGTATATGATATACTATAATTTAAACATATATATGTGGGTGTGTGTGTGTCCCTGCCCATGGCAGGGGGCTGAAACTACATGATCTTTAAGGTCCCTTCCACCTCTAACCATTCTGCAATATTTTAAATTCTTTTTCTCTATGTATCAAGCTAGGATACCGTTAGCAAATTACTTGTAAAAAGCAACTGAAATGCAAATGTATTTCAGTAATCTCAATTTAGACTTAATTTTACCAGTACTTCATTGCAGATTACTGTTAATAAAAAAGCTGAGGTGTCTCTACCACCATTATACCACAGATTAGGAAAGCCTAATATTGCTTATTACCTCTGCTCTCCCAAATCAGTATCCTTATTTGTGTCAGAAGACAATAAGGCTTATTGAAACTTTTTAATCCTGAAGTTGTTTGGGATATTAACACATCTAATGCATAGTAATGGCTAGTAATGGGGCCACCGCCAGTTCTCTTCCTAGCTCACAACTTATCCAGCTTCCTTTTTGAGAAGCTACTAACTACTACTGATTAATTTATGCCAGAAAATATTACTCGGATGAACCGCCCAGAGGGAAGCCGCTGCCGCCCGGGGTTTCATTTGTCTGTATTGGACAGGGCGGGATACAGCGCGGGGCTGCGGCTCGGCCGGACCCACGGCAAAGGCTGCTAGCAGCCTCTACCCACGCACCCCCGAGGCGCAACACG